AAGCTGCCATATGCTCACTGCGGGTATGCAGCCTTTTGTCTCATTTACCTCATTTGTTCACTTTTCACGGTGACAAAATATCAGCCACAGTTGTATCGGTTTCTGAGCCAAAGAAGCACAAGATGCGTAATGAAGCCGCCGGGTTGGGAAACATACTGTTGCAGCAGATAGAATATGGGGGTTATATTGGGATAATGGAAAAGACAATGGAAAAGAACCCTCAACCATGCTCAAATGTCCACGTGTTCCACCTGAGGTACACCAAAGTGGAGGTGGACTTAATGGTGCTTAAAGGAGGACTAGGAAGCTGGATTCTTATACTAACCCCGTTTATATAGTCCAACTTTCAATACCTATCACCCCACCCCCACTGGCATAGGCATCAAAAAAATTGACAAGGCATCAGCAAAAAAAAAGATAAGCATCAAGAAAAAGTTNNCAAGCATCAAAAAGAAATTTGAGCGTTTCAGCTTGACTACTATTACGAATATTAGTACTATTACTATTACTATTTCTATTACTATTTCTATTACTATTACTATTTTCTGGCCTTCAAAAATGTTGTTGATGCTTATTTACTTTTTTTTGATGCCGGGGCGCCAAGATTCATTTTTTGATTTTCGCATCAAATTTCTTTTTGATGCTTAGCATTTTTTTTGATGCGTCAGCCCCCCCCCCCACTCCCCTGTAGCACCTGTAAGTACAGTGACCCCAAGGCCCTGGCCTAGAGAGATATTCAGGCTCGAGGATACGTCAAAGCTGGGGCGAACCTCTACTGCGACCCTTGCCGAGTTTGAGGGTTTCTTCTCAAGAGCTAGAGTCTTCGTGGTCCACGTGGATATATAGTATACTTAGTGCCCAAAGAGGTTCCCGGGGCTCCCACATGACAACCTTGGTGGAACGGGTACGTATGTATACTTCATACCTACCCTAAACCCTGCATCGTGAACTCTAAGCCCTAGATTATGTAGCTGTATGGACCCTTTGGGAGTTTAATCTTTTCAGCTTCTAGTCTGTACCTGGACCCCAAAAGTGCGTAAAATAAGATGGCCCCAGAACCAAACAGCTTTTACGTTTTCATGGGTTTAGGGCTTAGGGAAAGGAAGCAGCGCGGCTGCTATTCTACACATTTTCGGACTGTGCACAGCTGAACAAGCGCCGGCTTCAAAAACAGCAGTCCCCCTTATACACCACCCCAGGAATGTTGCAATCCTTGCTTCCAGGACCAGGACCCCCACCAAAAAACGAGACCCGTAATTATTTGACCCTATCTCCTTTGGAACGTGTTGCAGGATTCGGAATATGAGGTGCTCGTCATAGCACCATACTGGGATTGAGCCCCTCCCTGAGGTTCCTCTTAGCCTATTCCGGAACCCTTGAAACTGTGTAGCCTAAGGGTCCTTTTGGCCATCATGCCTTGGGTTGGGGGCCGCCACTTTACTTGCAGTGGAGGGCCGAGGAAATCCTGATTGCCCCCTCTACGCGCTGCAGCCATTATCTATCCTAAATTCTAACCCTTAGCTAGCACCAGGCCTTAAAGTCAGTATATACCCTAAAGTGTAATCATACATCCTATACACCCACGCCAAGAACCCCAAACCCCAAATCTTAAACTGTAATCCCTACACCTTCAACTTAAGCCCTCAAGTTCGACTGCAACTTAGGATCGGGGCACTTGGAGTCCGGGTGCCTGTTGGCCGAAATCCGGCTGTGGGGCTCCTCCAACTGTGGCGTCCTTCGACCCAACCTAGCGAGTTTCCCCAGAGGGTCCACATATAGAACTACTAGGAAAGTAGGACGCATAACTCACTCGCCAGTATGTTTTTATTTGGGGCCTACTTCCTTTATGGTAACATGTCTGGAGCATCTGAGGTTTACGTGCAGAATGTAACGGGAAGTCCAAGTTATAACCGGGTAGAACCATAAGGTCCCCTGTGGTTACTATTGAATTGCGCTAGTGAGTCGTGATATACCTATTTTAAGGAGCTCAATGCAGGTATTAAACATTGAACGAGTTTGCATGGGGTGTCGGGGGTTAGTTCGCAGCGCCAAATTCGAATTTCAGGTTTAGGAAGTCCTGTAAAGGTGTCTAGGGTTTCGGGGGCTCTTGAACAGTCCTGGCGTAGGCACCAGTATACTACTTTCAAAGGGCTTTAATCTAGGGGGTCAAGGTCCCTGAAAATACCCCATAAACCCTAAACCGAATATGGGGGGTCAAGGTCCCTCAGTATACCCTAAACACTCAACCGAATTTGGGGGGTCAAGGTCCCTTAGTATACCCTCAACACTCAAGCGAATTTGGGGGCCAAGGTCCCTTAGTACGTGAACACTGGGACGAGACATTTATCCCCAAACGATCCCAAGTATCTATATGGTACAAAGTAAGGTTTCTAGGGGTAGTTTGAGGTTTATATAAGGGTATATAGGGGTTATGTAGGGTAATACAGGGGCTTTATGGGGTTTGAGGCCTTAAGTATCTATATGGTACGTACAATCTAGGGTTTGTAACTAGGAATTTACAGCAGGGTTTATGTCACTGTTCCCTATATACGTACCTAGGATGCTTTGGGATCCATATCAGTGCCACACTGTCATAGAAGAAGAGAAGCCCTAAACCCTAAACCTAGAAGAAGAAACACAACTCCTGCTGCCCTCAGGCATGCTGAATCTGCTGAGATACGGCACTGCCTCTTGGCTGCTTTCGGGTTGTTCTCAAAATTAGATGGCACCTATAATATTTAGGGGTGCCAAAATCGGACCCTAATTTTGGGAACTACCCTTTCGGTTCAGACAGGGTAGTGGTGCGGCATGCTCTCTCACACGACAAGTTTCAAAAGTCTTTATTCCGAAGCCACGCCCCAAAGCCTGTGAACTTGGATTGGAGGTTCAGAGTTACAATGAGGTAATTAAAGCACTTGTAGCTTCACCCCTTTCATGCTCTAGATCTCCTAGTCGAGCTATAACAACAGCTACCATGTAGGTTGTAATTACGTTGAACCTCGAAGTGCTGCGACGCCTTGATCCCAAGCCCCCTGCCAACGGTCTCATGTGACCTTATGTGGATGGCGTCCAAAGCTAGTCTTTAGGCAGCCCTAAGCGTAGAGCCCTGTAGTGCTAGCTGTGATATGTAGGCTTTTTCAAGAAGAAGGCATTGAATTTTGACAGCCCGCAGAATCATCTTCTTAAAGTACCTTCAAGAGGCATTGCTTCCTGACAGCTGCCCACCGAACCTACAGCTCAGGTTCTGTTCCATCTGAGCTTACACGAGGCCTCTTAGTTCATCCAGCGCTAAAGCTTCGTAAAAGCCTGCCACGCCCCCAAAAGATATTCCTCAGCATGACCACTTGCACTTACCCTGGACTCTAAATCCTGTACCCGAGTATTAGACACCCCGTTTTGTTGAAGCATGCTTGGTGAATGCTGGACTCCTTTTCACAGCTTCACAGGGGAAACCCCTGGCTACAGTAACTTGCCAAACCAGCTACTCCGGAAGTTAGGACCGATTTTCCTGCGCACCTAGCCGTTGTTATCTGAAACCCTAAACTCTCAGATCATATAAGCCCCAGCGCCGCTGGACTGTAAACCCCTTTAACTCCTAAACCCTAGATCCGACCAATCTTAAGCATCCAGGTGTCGATGCGAAACGTGGGGAAACCTGCGAAGGCTTCCGCTGCGACGTAGGTTTCGAGGCAGGGCTTTGCTTGAGATCAAAGAAATACTTGGCTTTTGGGGGTTACATAGGGGCCACAAAGGGGTTACATGGGGTTTATAGGCTCACCCTTATCCTACCGCTCCAAAAAGTAGCTAAACATCGCTCAGCTTTCTTAACAAATAGTCAAAAGATGCCGGTTTATGTTTAAGTCTTTGTAACTTATAGGCACTACGATTCAGGGTTGGGGTTTTAGGGTTGAGGGTTTCGGCTTCAGGAGGTAAAGGGGGATTGCCCCAAACATCAATACCTAAACCCTACACCCCTAACCCCTATAGTAGTCGCCTATATAATCCATTATACAAACCCCTTTAAGGAGATACCCATTACCCTTAAAAGCGAAACGCTTTGGACACAGAGGGATTGCACAGGCATTTCCAGATCATTGCAGGGATAATGTTGACAAACCTCCAGCAGCTGGCATTTAGGATTTAGGCTTGTCGGGTCTCCGGTTGTCATCTTAATTACTGGGGCTTAGTAGGGAACAAGGGAAATATCATATAAATAGGTAAATAAATATAGATATGTATATATATATATAATGCTACTCACCTCCAGCAAGTCATGAGCTTCAAATTCTCGCATTCAGGATGGGGGTTTCAGGTTCGCTGCATATTGAAGCCGTATGAGCTCTGGACTGCAGTTAGGGTATATTCCTGAAAGGCCCTCCTAAGCCCCTTATAGGTCCCCCCCAACCTAACTGTAGTCCATGGCTCATATGAGCTATAGCCTAAACTCTTCACAATAGGATATGTAGGGGATTCTATAGCCAAAAACTCATAAATCCCCAGGGTTCCAACTCTATAAATGACGTCTACATTGGGGCCTAAAGTTTGTAACCGTTACCTACATTGGGCTGTTTGGAGCCCTGGGGCTTCCAGCAGGGATGCCAGATTCTTGGCTCAGGTTTTGCGTCTACAGGGGTTTGGTTTGAAAATAACCTTTATTTTTTGCTACCCTCAGTTCCTACATAACCCGCATGCAGCCATGAAAGTTTAAAGTTGTATAGGTCCCCCATACCTACCCTAGTTGAAGGTGTTAGGAACTGCAAGACTTCAGACTCTTGTGCAGGGTCTTGCTGGGAGTTGTTGAAGCTCTGAGCTTTAACCCCCGAACTGTGCATGGATTAAACTCTACCTGGAAAACCTAGTTACCCAAAATAATAGGCAACAGACGAAAGGAGCTTCTGAGGGAAGGGGATTTGGGCCGGTGACGGATTTCTAGACCAAGAAATGAGCGAATCCATCAGTTTTTCGAAAAGCTCTTGCAGTCATCGATCCATCTATACAGATCATGAGCATGTCGTGCGGCGCAGATGGGTCCACAAGTTTGTCAGGTACTTCCTGATCGTTTGCAAATGCACTTGCCGCGTCGAAACAGTACAAGTAATGGAAGACACCTTCCCCACTAGATCTTCGTCCATTTGAACACTCTCGGATAAAGGATTGAGAGTCCATCGAAGGCCACGCTCCAAACCAGAGACGAGGTGATCCGTTATATGGATCATCGCATGTAATTTCGGCGTTAACTTGAAACGCGTGCGCTCAGCAGCATGCGCCGTGGCAGCTACCTCCAGGTAAGATCGAACAAAATCCAACCCCGCTTGTGCAGCAGCACGGCAACGATCCTGCGATAACCAAAGGCCGCTCTTGTAGAGAACTCTCAAGAATGCATTTGCACTCTGAAAGGCATCAAGCATGCTTGAGAAATAGGCCAAATCATCATTTGCAATGTCCGGCAGCTTCTTCTCCAGATACTCTTCGAAGAAAAGGCATACACAAGAGGTATCAGCCCCTTTGAACCATGACCTTATTTGGGGGGTTAGTTATATAATAAACGATTTGCCCGGCAAGGATTGATAATAGAAACCAGGAAAGCTAAAAAACAACTAAACAGAACCATGACACCCCACAGGATACTCGTAGTCACCAGGGAAGGCCAGGATGTTGCGTGTAAGCCCATCCATGTGTAGCGGGGTCTTCGTTCTTGCAGAAAATTCGCGGAGAAGCTCATAGATGCGATCCAGTTGCAATTGAAAGTTGCCAGGGCCTGTCATGTGGTAATCCGTCAGCGCAACCTGAGTTTTGAAGAAGGGCAGGAGTTTTTGGGGATGGGTTTACAAAGGATTATGGGCTATATAGCTTATATAAATATGGTTTTATATACAGGGTTTCACTGGGTACCGCTTACACTAAAAAAGTTTACCAACAAACAAACCTGTGACGATGGCACTTCCCGCAAGCTCTGCAAAGCATCCTTTGTGAAGGCAATGAAATATGTCGAATTTATGGAAGAACTCCTTCCTTGGGGATGGTGGAATTTGGCAAAGCGGGCCAGGACGACTCCACGGGGTTGATGTAAGGTATGTATCCCGCCATTTTGCTTCAGCGTGATACTCAAACGGAGGCACATTCAGTTCCCCAGCGCGGCATAGGTGACAGAACCCACTTGTAGCAGAAGAGACTTGGTAGACGCCCTTACGCGCGAAGTGGCGCTCGAGATGTCCCAAACGAGCTTGGATAGGCCAGTCCCCTTTCAGCCCCAAGGTTGCGACCCAGAACTGCACTTTTTCGTTCCCAACACTTAACCAGATACCATCATGGAACAAGTCGTATAGCTCTTTTGCAAGGATGTCGATAATGCAGTCAAGAACATGGCCTTTCTTCTTTTGGTAAGTCTTCTTGGTGCAAACACCGAGTAAGAATCTTGTAGCATAAGAATTCCCAATAAAGTTCAAGTGCATAGCAGCCTCGACATCATCCTCAACGGAAGTTCCAAAACCAAGTGGGGACTGCCACGCAACCACCATGACAGCAGATTTCTTAAGGGTCTGTCCTTCGTCCGCATGCAATTGCAGCGGCAGCACGCGATCCAAATGTTGGCCATGGGCAGCGAAAACTGTATGCTCTGGATCGTAGCCTCGAAAACGACGCCAGAACTTCGGCAAGATATCCGTCCGGGATACAAGACTTCGGGATCCCCAAAGTAGTGGTAGCTTCCCGTGATCAGCAAGGGTTTGCATGAAGTGTGTCACTTTGAGGATAGGGAGCTTGTATTTGAAACCAACATCTACCATTGAAATCTCAATTGGAGCAGCCAAGCCTGCACGTTGAAAAGCCTTGTTGGAATTGTTTTCGTGCTTCGTCTTCGATTGTTTTGCTAAATTGAGCAGAAGTTCCGAACTTTCAAGGTTCTCCGCGAGGTCCGAGTCGGCCCCCCTACACTCCTCAATAAAGCCTGCAGCTATACTGCATAGGAGTCTGTCTGACACCTTCAGGGATGTAATCAAACCAAGACCCCAACACTGTAATGTAATTATTCGTCTTATAAAACCGTAATGTAGATGTTTCCAGGGGTTCTCACATAAAAAAGTTATATGATAAATATTTTGTACCCTTATATATAGTCTATTGTCCTTCATGGGGTTTATATAGGGTCCACTATTATATAGGTTTAAATGAAACCCAACATTAAATACCTATTTCCGCCCAGCTCACTCCGGATCCCCGAGCTTTGGCCAAGGATTCCGAAGCTGCGCCAGGTGTATCGCGAGATCCCGAAGCAGCACCTGCGCAGCCACTAATTTCAATTAAGGGGACACACCGACAGGCTGTACATAAGCGCAATGACTTTTCCGCACGCCCCCAGGTTGCAGCACGCCCCACACCCACATCATGTTTTCTTAACATGCATATGGAAAGAAGGGTGCCCTTTCCCGTGGCATCAACCCCATGCATAGCTATAGCGATCAAACGCTGGTTTAGCGAAAGTGCCCCAATAAGAAAATCTACCTACTTCTTCTTCGGAGCACCCTTGACCTTAGCCTTTGCCTTTCCAGTAGCCTTAGGCACAGGAACCTTCTTAGGCTTAGGCTTAGGCTCAGCTTCGCAAGACGACGCTTCACCATCAGTAGCACCACCCTTGCCCTTGCGTAGGATTGTCCTGAGTTGAAACGAATGCAATCATAAATATCATAAATGCATGTACACAAACCGAATAAACAATTGAAGGCATGATTACGTAGTGCCGCCATGAATCCGCTTCAATTTCTTTTCTTCCATCATCACGCGGCTGGACCTGAAGCCAGATTGAGGTGAGAATTGGAGTGGCAAGCAGCTGCGCAATCCTACGAAGGCGCCCTCGGGATTAATAAGCAAGGCACAGCTTTTCCACATTCCCGCAGTACTTCTTCAACTTGTCCAAGATCCTGAGTCATTGTAAAATTCAGATATTTAAAGAGACTCATCATCCACATTACAAAAAACCTGCAATAATGCATACTAGCCTCGGTCTGTCTGGGCACGCATCATTGCCATGCTCTGCCTTGAGCTCTGCCAAATCGTCATGAAGCAGCATGAGCTTGTCCGCTTGCGCAGTCATGCTAGCCAGGCTCCTTAGGACATGTATGGGGTTTGGGTGTGGGACCATAATGAAGTATGCAGACTCATTTGTTTAGAAAAGTAGCTTCTTGGCCTCCTCATCCTTGCATGCCTTCAGCTTGTCCATCGTTTTGTCCATCTTGATCCGAAGCTTGAGAATTTCGGAAAGCATCGTAGGAATTCGATCCATTTCCTGAAAGGTTCAGGGCACAAAAGATTTCAGGATAGAAGCCTATATAGTACATTACCCTAGCACACGCCTCCAAAGCAGCCTCAGCCTCATCCTCCTTAGCCTTGGCGGCTTTCCTCGCTGACCTTGTCTTCTTGTTGCTCTCTCGAAGAATGCTGCGCTTGCTTTGGGGACTTGGGGTCTTCTTCTTGTTCTTCGTCTTCGTGGGCTTGGTCTTGCTGGGGGTCTCATCATCATTGTCGTCATCATCATCCGAGGAGGAGTCACCGTCAATGTCAAGGCAAGCAGAGGGGCTCTTGCCGCCAATCTCGGGCATTGGCAGCTCACAACCATCCTCATCAACAATCGTGTACTTTTGGCTGAACTCCTCGATGTGCGAGGTCTCCAGCTTGCCAACAGTCTCCACGTCCACCCAGTACTCACGCACGTGTCTCTGGTATTTGTCTCTCCTGCAAGAATTGTCAGATCCATGCTCTAACCCCTCAATGCTTTTTCCCATACACCCAAACAAACATTAACGCTCACAGGCCTGGTGAACTTCTTCCTTCTCATCTTCGTAGCAGTGCAGTACCGGATGATTGCCTTTATGCGATCCCTGAGCTGCATTGGCGGTCACAAACATGTATTCAATGCTGCAGTTCCACATGTATAGGTGAGGGTTTAAAGTTAAGGCGAGAGGCGGTTTGAATTTCAGCTCGGTCTTCATGAGTTCCTCGCTGTAGAATCCACTTTTGATCGAAAGGGTGAGCTCCTTCTTCTGCTTGATGAGAATCTCCATGCGACTATTGAATCTCTCCTACGAATTGCCATGTCCCACATGCATTCCCTCCTATAGACCTATCCTTCCCCTATAACTCTCAAACCCAATCCCTGTGGATATATATATATATACTACATATAATATATGTTGTTATATATATAGTATACATATATTATTCTATATTATATTATATACATATCCTGAAAACACATCCCCGAAGTCCTATAATCACTGAAGCCCCATTCTACACCACCCTTTACATGTGCACCAATCCTTGTTGCCCCTGGCTGCAATGAAGGCATTCAAGATTTGCTTCCGGGTGTTCGTGGTCTTCCATTTCTCTGCCACCTCGGGGGCAACCTGCAAAGTCCCTCGCTTTGCACTTTTACGGCACATCCTCCTCAAAGTAGCCTCGTAGTTCCGGAACTCCTTCTTCGTGATGCGAATGGGAGCCTGCAGGGTGTTTCTAGGTATATTGCATTCCTTGTAAGGGGGACAGGTATATTCATAAAATGATAAACATAATTAGAGAAAGATGGGAAAGATGTGGGCACCTCCTTCTTCTTCTTTGGGGATTCCTTGGAAAGCTTTTTCCGGGACTTCTTTGTAGAGGAGCTTGGGGTCGTAATCGAGGAAAGTGACGGGGACGCTGCAGGACGCTTCTTGGGGATCTTATTCTCTGGCAGGCTCTTCTCCGGGCTTGGGGTTGGGCTCGGGAACTCCAATCTCCTAACTGGGCTCACCATCTTCGAGGGCGGAGGAGTCGTAGGAGCATGCAAAGCATCTTCCACAATTCCTGAATCCAGCAATGGTTCCCAATACGGATCCTGAATACCATCCACGGCCTCATCCATAACCTTATATATTCAGGATTGCAAGCTTACTGAAACGATAATTGGGCCGCGTTCTGTGTACCACCCAAGATACCGTTGGCGAGATGGGCGCTTCGTGATGGCACGGCTGATGCTGCTCAGCTTGCGCCATATTATGGTAAGCTTGCAGGAAGTCGTGGATTTCATCATCATCCTTAGTTAGGTGGGGGTTACCTTTATATGAAATACGGGTTTGATTGATATATATAGGCATCCAAGCAACTGCTGGCACCAATTCATCATCAGAGTTGGCATCTTCCCCCAGAGACTGAACTACGCCCAAACAGGGGTCGGGGTTCTCGGGTTCATCAACCAGCGTGTCCTGCTCATGAAGACCTTCTTCAAGACAAACTTGTTCCCAGCGTTGCTGTTCTGTTGGCTGCGCATCAGTAGAGACTGCTCTAGGAAGCTCAGCTAAAGAACGGCAAGGGGTTGGGATTGGACGGCTTGGCTCCACAGCAGCTGCAAGACCTGTCGCGTCAGGTTCTGGGGCAGCTTGCAAAGCCTCGGCTTTGGCGCGGAGGGCGTCCAAAGTCCGCTGGGCAACCTTGGGCCATGGAGGAATTTATTATAGGATGTTGAGTATGCTGGGGCCACAAATTAAGTAATGAAGGTGTGATCACGAAAACATGCAGAAGCTACATGGCAGTTCAGATAAGGTGCCCTCAAATCTTCCTCTATGTTTTCGCGTGAAGCTTCTTCAGCTTTCACACGCGGCTTGGAAGATTGCTTCGCCATAAAGGATTGTCCCGCGTACAAGGTGCCACAACTGTGCGCACGTGAGCACAAGCGCAGGGGTACTCCGGTAGGCATTGTCATAAACTACAAATCCTTGAGTGAACATGATCCAGGGTGTGGCTGAAAATTGTTCAGGTTCTTGGGCTCTCGGGATTTACGCTTTTTTACGGCACTGGCACACTTATTTATGGCACTGCGCGCTTTTTTACGGCACTGCAACTTATGTGCAAAATCGTAAGAATTACGAAAAAAGGGACCAAAAACCCGAAACCCCGGCCCAAAATCCCGAAACTCTAGACCAAAATCCCGAAAGTATGAGCCTACAAGTCCGAAACTATATCCCGCAAGTGCAAATTAGCTAACCTTGGCAGCCAGAAGTGTGCCCATTTGTTCCCTTTAGACATACCCTGCACTCCCAACCTTTGTTCTGCGAACAAATTTGATCAGATGTCATCTTCCGTAGCCCAGGCAGATGCCAGCTCATGCAGCATCTGCTTCTGGTCGGCCGTCAAGCGTAGACGCTTGTTGGAATACAAATATTCAAGCACCTCGCCTACTTTAGCATCTGCCCACAAGTCATTTGGAACCCTTTTGTAGAGCTCGTTCTTCACATCCTCGAAATTCAGATCGGCAGGCACCTCCGAATCAAAGCTTCAAAACATCACAACCCCAACCCAGGCTGACGAAAGCTGCCTGCCTGCTCTTCTGGACGCCGCCAAACCACTCGGCTCTGCATGAGCTTTGGCCACAATTTAGTAAATCGCAGGGCAAAGGCAAAGGGGTAGCACCTCAGGCAAGATTGCATGTGCAAGTCCATGTTTATGCCAAGCCCGCGCATCAACACACAATTGTAATGCTGTCAGGATTCTGGGACTTCTTCAGTTTCTTTTTCACGCCCGTGTAGCGGGCTTTCCCCTTCTTATCCTTGAAGCTGGTGGCTAGCTTCTCGTGGCACGCCTTCCGATCCTTCTTGGATAATCTTGCATATGCTCCGAATTCGTGTATGGCAGGGGAGCTACTGTAGAGCACTGAGCGCTTCGGGGAAGCACTACCTAGCCTCCCCATCCAAAAGGCTTGCTTGTACACCTCAGAAGGCAGCATCGTCATGTACGCATTATGAGGCTACAAGATCGAAGCTCAATATCAGCATAGCTGCATACATCGCCTTGCTCAATTCTTGAAATCGATGATGTCGATACATTAACGATGAGGATGGTTGCTCAAGCGTGAAATTGCATCCTTGAGATACCAACAGCCAAACCACCAAGCAGAACCTGGCTCAGGGCTTTCGAGGCTTTAAGTCAGGGTTGTACGGGGCTCGGGAAAGGTTTATATATATGTGTACATTCCTAAACATGTGGGCCTATAAGTTTGGGGTGTGTTTGGTTGGGCTGATCATTGGGTTTCCCGAAACGCCTGCTGACCATGGTGTTGGCGGCCTCCACCCATGGGAGACTTGTATCTCCATGCGGGCATAAATAC